GGCGGCCCCTGCGGTTGGATCCCAGTGTCCCTGGCTGGCCACCATCTTCTGGCCCAGTCCTAGTCTCGGGACTCTGCCCCCAGCCATCCCAGACAGCCCCTGGACGGGTCCCTGACAGCGGCTTACTAGTGTTGGGGTCCTCATCACAGGGTGCGGCCATGGCTGGGGCTTGTCACTATCCTGATGGACTGTGCCTTTTGTCCCGGCGTCCTGGTGCTGAGTCCTGACCTTAGTATTTGCTGAAGAAGTGGCAGGCCCCCTCCCGCACAGTGTAAGGTCTTGTTTCGGTCTTCCCTTGCTGGCCTCTCCTTCCTTGTCACATCTCATCTCATCTCTTTCCTACCCTGCTGACTTCTGTCCCTGGCTGTGCCCCTGGCTCTACCCCAGCTCTGCCCCTGGGCTCTCTGTCCTCCTTCACTTAGAGCACAGAGTCAGAGCAGGGCCTTTGGAACCAGTGAGGCCTGGGCCCATCCCAAATCCCCATGCTGCTGTGATCAAACACATGATTTTGAGTAAATTCTTAACCCCTGAGCCTCACCTCAACAGCAGAACTGGCCATGGCAACCTTCAGATGAGATGCTGCACAGTGGGGCTCAGCGTGTGTTGCTGTGGTTAATGTTACTATTTTCAAACAGTCATTGGATCCCTCCCCTCCCCTCCCCTGAAACATTCAGAGGCTACCCCTTGTCTACAGGGCAAGGCCCTCAAGCCTCTCCCTTGTGCTCCAGCCACACTGCATTCCTGTCCTTGTCTGGCACACCGCCATCACTCTGCCCATCTCCCCACCTGGGGTCCCTTTCTCCTCTTGGTAGGGTCATGCTCACTCTTCAGGCTCAGCGTCGGGCACCTTCTTGAAGACTCCACTTATCGATCCCTCAGTGAAAATGCCTTCTGCCTCAGCTGTCCCCTGGCACAGGCCCGGGTCTGCTTCTTGTCATAGATACAATCTCTTCTTCTGGGTTGTAGTGTCTTGAGCCAGGTCTTCAGTCTAATTCATTGAGTGGATTTGTTATGTGCTTTGCACATAATAGTTACATAGAATGTGAGTTGAGTGAGCCACATGTGCTATGGAATTGTGACCTCTGGAACATCCTGTGTACAAGGTAGGTAAGGAGCCACACCAGGGGTGGCAGGTACAGGCACATGTACCACCATCTCCTGGATGTTGCTAATACATCATAGAGCTCCTCCTGGCTGAGGTCGTCTGCGCTTCAAAATCCCTCTCACCAGTGCCCCTGGTGGCCACAGCCCATCCTCATGACGGATGACAGCCAGCTCTCCCCAACCCGTACTGTGGGAAGAACCACAGGTAACTTGTTCAAAATAGGTGCCTTGTTTATTGCTTATTTTTAAGGACCTGCACATGTTTTTACATGTTCAGATGTAAAAGGGTTTAGTCCTTTAAGAAATGATAGGCAAGACACAGGTTGGGAAGCTTGCTGGGAGGTCCTGGCTGGTGGAAACGGGGCTTTATTCAGGCTTGGAGGCTGAGCTGGGCATTGGTAGGAGAGGTGAGGAACGTGGAGGCCAGCTTAACGATCCTTGATAGGAAAATGAATGGTCATGAGAAAATATGGGGTGTAGGAACATATGTACACTTGAGGGAACAGACGGGATGAGAATAATCAAACTGTGAAGAAAAGACAGACATTTCTGTGCAAAACGGAGCAGAAAGACCATTTGGAGAAGGATCTTGTCATGGATTGAATTATGTCCCCCCCAAAATGTGTATATCAATTTGGCTGGGTCATGATTCCCAGTATTGTATGATTGTGTACCATTTTGTAATCTGATGTGATTTCCTTATGTGTTGTAAACTCTATCACTATGATGTAAAAAGATAGATTAGCAGCAGTTATACTGATGAGGTCTACAAGATTAGATAGCATTTTAAGCCAAGCTCTTTTGAGATAAAAAAGAGAGAAGCAAGCAGAGACACATGGGAACCTCATACCACCAAGAAAGCAGTGCCAGGAGCAGAGCACATCCTTTGGACTTGAGGTTCCTGTGCAGAGAAGCTCCCAGACCAAGGGAAGATTGATGACAAGGACCTTCCTCCAGAGCCAATGGAGAAAGCATTCCCCTGGAGTTGATGCCCCGAATTTGGACTTGTAGCCAACTGGACTGTGAGGGAATAAACTTCTCTTGGTTAAAGCCCTCCACCTGTGGTATTTCTGTTAGAGCAGCACTAGATGACCAAGACGGAGCTCCTGAGGAGAAATGGGAGTGGTAAGAAGTAGTTCCCATCCTCTCACTGACAAAAGTCAACAAAGTGTTTTTCCTATTTCTTTGACGTCCCAGAGCAACTCTTGAAGCAGGTAGTGGAAGTTTCTAGAAACCACTGAGAAGCTCCAAACACCTTAGGAAAAGCAGTTAGCTCCAACCACAGTGAACAACAGTTGATGTTGGCTTAGGCAGAGTTTCTCACCTAATCTGCATAATAACCAGGGGAGAGGATGGTGGCCTCCATAGCACAGGTAGGCCAATCAAGGCTGGGGAGGTGTGGGATACGGTCATGCAGCTAGTAATCAGAGGAGCCAGGATTTGAAGCCTGACATATTCTTTTCCCTGCACCAGGTATACAGGGTTGTACCTAAGATGCTTTATTCGTGTTGCCCTCTGTTGGCTCTCAGTCTGGTGAAAGAATGAAGCTGATGTTTTGTTGAGGTGGTGTTTGCAGCCCCATCTCTTCCCTCATCTGATCCTTGCCCCTGCCTTCTGGGGAGCTCAGAGTGTAGCCTTGGACTGTTAGGACCCTGTGCCTCTGCTCATTGGTCACCCTGCCTGCAGTGCCGTGCCCCCATCTCTGCCTGTTGAAATCTTACCTGGCCAGCAGAGCTCCCTGGGGACGCTTTCCCAATGCCCCTCAGCTAATCTCATGATACTTTGGCCTGAGTTTGATTCCAGCCCCTTGCATGCCTTGCCCTGTATTTCAGCAGCCTTTTTAGCTCTCTCTTCTTCTGCGGGTTGTGGACTCCCAGGGACAGGACGGGGGCTTATTCGTCTGGGAGCCCAGGCCAGTGCTGTTCACTCAGTCGGGGACTTGGCTAAGGATAGCTAAGTTGGTTGATGATGATGAGCCTCAGATGGATCCAGATCTCTGGGATTTAGCCCTAGGGACCTCACTGTCTTAACTTGTTTGGGGAAACTTGGAGTGTCATGGAATCAAAGCCATTACTGACATCTTCCTGGGGTCCACGTCACCTGTCACTAAGTGGGAGAAGGAAATTGACGAGGGGGGGCAAACTGTTCACAGTGCCTCGCTGATGGCTATCGCCACTGCACAGCCTTCTGCCTGTGTCCAGTCTCTTCTCACACCCTGGGTGGTGGAGGTCCTGAAGGTATCGAGCAAGATGTCGAGTCATCTTTTTTAAAAACGTAGGTATTGTACTTTACATTTTCCAGCCCTGGGAGCGGAGTGTGATGCCCTGGGGCTCTCAGCACCCACAGGTCCCCTGGGATCCATCATTTGTCCTCACTGAACTGGGTGCAGCCTCTCCAAGGACTCTGCCACCATTTCCCCTCCTTCTTCCTCTTGACTGGGTCACCTGCTTTACTGATCCAAGGCTGCTCCTCTCCAGAAGGCTGGTGCTGCTTTCCAAGAGTCGGTTTTGAGGACAGTGCATTTCAGGCTCGTTAAATTTGATTGGACTTCACGTGCATTGTTACATACACTTAACAGCTTAAGATTCGTTTTGGGAAAAAAAACCATTCAATCTGTTTGGTGAGAACTTGTGTGACTAATTAATGCCCTGCAGTGCGCTGTGAAACTGTAAGGCAACCCACAAACACCAAATCATAACACACTTCCCATTTGAAGGAATACACTGTATTAGTACATGGAACATCTCCTATTGAGTCACCTTGTTAAGCAGGAAAATAATCCTTTATGACTTTATAAACCTCCTCTAAGCTCTAGTATGTGCCATTCTGAAAACGAGTAAGTTGAATAAATGAAGTCAGATGTCAAGCTTTTAATTGGCCCTTCTCTCCCATTGAGTTCTACCAATTTTGGAACAATTGTCTGAGGCGATGTAATTAACTACTGATACGATGCTGACATAGTGGAGAAGATGCTGTTGGTCTTTGGCAAAGAGGGGCTGGCTATGCAGGGGGTAATGTGGCTAATGTCATTGCCACCTGGGCTTCACAAAGTTTTCTACTGAAGTTCCTCAGATAGCAGAGAAGAATGAAGAAGAGGTGGCAAATTAACCTGAATGGCCCACAAAATTTGTTTCAAAGCCTCGAGCCTTATATTAAATTATCTAGGTGCCTTTTGTTTTCTATTCCCTGTTTACGTTTTCCTCCAAATCTTTAAGTAAAAGAATTTGACTGGGAAGGCAACTCATTTTGTTCTGTGGCTTCTGGAACCCTAGGGCTTAGATACCCAGTGCTTGAGAAACTGGGGTATCCAAAAACAAAAAGAAAAAAGATTTCAGAAAACAACCAAAGTAGCATTGGTTTATAAAATGTAATCCTGTCAGTGTTGGTGTGTACCCTTTTTTACCCAAGAAAATTAGTACATATTTTGCTTTGTAGTCAACAGTGAGCCATTTATAAAGACATCTGGGAAGTCTTGTTCAGGGGACAGTGGTCACTCTTTGTCCTGGTCAGTGATCTCAGAAAACATCAGTTCTTAAATAAATATCACGAATCGTTCTGGTTCGAACCCCTGCTGAGAATTTGCATTTCTAACAAGTTCCCAGGCGATGCTCTTGGATGATGTTACTGTGGTTTGATGCTGTTGGTTAGGGACCAATTCTGAGAACCACTAGTAGAGCAGTGGTTCTCAAAATTTATTGTACATAAGAATCGCCTGGGGATCTCATTAAAATGTAGATTCTGATTCAGTATATCTGGGGGTAGAAATGCAAATTCTGGGCACTTGAAGCCCTGAACCTTCCCTTTGTCCCTCGTTGGCGGCTCTGTGCTGTTTAAACTGCCTTCTAGTGGCCGGCTTGCTGTGTGCACCTCATCATTTTCTCCTGGCTTTTCCTTAGTTGTGGCTGTGTACATAAAGGGATCCTGGTGGCCCACTGAAGATGTGCTAAGGACCTCTGATCCTGCAAGAGAAGGTCTGAAGAAGGTGAGCGTTGCGATCTTTTATTTTTAAGACATTGCGTTTTTTTCTTTTACCATTTTTAAGTGTACCCTTCGGTGGCATTAATTATAGTCACCATGTTGTGCAGCCATCACCACTATTGCCAAAACTTTTTCATCACCCAAACAGAAACTCAGTGCCCCTTAAGCAGTAATCCCCCTTTCTCCTCCTCCTAGCCTCTGGAACCACTAAGAAACTTGTATCTCTATGCCTATTCTAGGTATCTCATATAAGTGGGATCATATTTGTCTGTTTGTATCTGACTCACTCAGCATAATGTTTTCAGGGTTCATCCATGTCATAACATGTATCAGGACTTTATTTCTCTTCACGGCGGAGTCATAGTCCACTGTATTTTTATACCATATTTTGTTTATCCATTCATCTGTTGATGGATACTTGGGTTGTTTCTACCTTTTGGCTGTTATGAATAATGTTGCAATGAACAATGGTGTACAAGTATCTGTTTGAGTCACTGCTTTCAAGTCTTTTGGGTATATACCTACGAGTGGAATTGCTGGGTCATACGGTATTTCTCTGTTTAACTTTTTGAGGAACTGCCAAGATGTTTTCCACAGTGGCTGTACCATTTTACCTTCCCACCAGCAATGAATGAAGTTTCCAGTTTTTCCACATCCTCACCAATACTTTTATTTTCTATTTTTTGATACTAGCCATCCTAGTGGATGTGTCCAGGCAGGCTCTCTCGGCTGAACCTTGGCTGAACCATCCTCCTCCTCACGTCTGCCCGTTTCCATTTGATTGGCATAGTCATCTTAACACCGTGCGTGGGCAGGAAGAAAGATAATGCTTCGTTGCAATGTTGAGATGGTGGGTCTGTCCATAGTTGTCTGGAGTACTGCTTGGTACCCCTTATGGGAATCTTTAAATGCTGTATGAAATATCAGTACTCTTTTAAGTTCAGTTTGGGGAATAAGTTGATAATCCAGTTTTGCTTCCATTGAAAAATTAACAGAAAAAAAAAAAGCAACCTCACAAATTCAGGTCTTTTTTTTTTTAAACATCTGCTTTATTGAGATATATTTTGGATACCATGAAGTCCACCTCTTTAAAGGGTATAATTCAGTGATTTTTTTAGTACATTCTTCAAGCTGCATACTAATAACCACTGTCTTTTTCTAGACCACTATCACCACCCCAAAAAGAAACCCCATTAGCAGGCATTACTCCCTGTGGTCAGCCAGCCCCCATCCCAGCAGCCGCTGGAAACCTTGAATCGACTTTCTGTCTCTGTATATTTGCCTATTCTGGACATTTCATATAATGGAAAATGAAATAATGTTTTCAAAGTTGATACATGTTGTAGCATGTATCAGTACTTCATTCCTTTTTATTGCTGAGTAATATTCCATGGTATGGATATACCACATTTTGTTTATGTATTCGTCAGTTGCTGGACAATTGAGTTGTTTTCACTTTTTGGTTATTATAAATAGTGTTAGTAAGAACATCTGTGTACAAATTTCTGTGTGGACCTATGTTTTCAGTTCTCTTGGGTTTATGATATAGAAGTGGGATTACTGGGTCATATGGTAGTTTAATATTTTACGTTTTGAGAAGCCGCCAAACTGTTTTCTGAAGTGGTCACACTGTTATACATTCCCACCAGCATTGTATGAGGGTTCCAATTCCTCCCCATCCCAGACAACACTTGTTACTGTCTGTCTTTTTGAGTATAGCTATCCCAGTAGGTGGGAAGTGGTATCTGTTTGTGGTTTTGATTTGCACTTTTCTGATGACTAATGATGCTGAGAATCGTTTTATGCGCTTATAATCATTTTATGTATCTTATTTGGAGAAATGTCCATTCAAATCTTTTGCCTATTTAAAAAATAGGGTTATTCGTTAATTGTTTGTATTGTAGGAGTTCTTTATATATTCTGGATTCCAGTTGCCATTGAGTCAGTTTTGACTCATGGAGACCCCATGTGTGTCAGAGTAGAACTGTGCTCCATAGGGTTTTCAATGGCTGATTTTTTGGAAGTAGATGGCCAGATCTTTCTTCCGAGGCACTTCTGGCTGAACTATTGGTTAGCAGCTGAGCATGTTAACTGTTTGCACCACCCAGGGACTCCATGTTCTGGATATAAGTCCCTTATCAGATATAGGATACGCAGATTTTTTTTTTTTTGATTCTCTGGGTTGTCTTTTACAGGTCTGGTTTTAACTGCCTCGAGAGGTATTATTTTGAAAAGGTTTTTCTTCCGGCAAATCAACTATGTCTTGAGATTCCTCAGATAAGCCTGGTGCACCCAGTCATGGTGCCTGATGTACCCATTTGTGTTGTTGTCCCGTCCTTTTGTCGCAGGTGGGCCGGGTGGTATTTTGTGGTTGGATGTTCTGACTGCTAGGAAGAATCTGGTTCACTCCTTAAATACGCCTTTTAGAACGAGGGTGGTCACTTCCTTCGTGTGTCATCTCTTCTAAGTATAGAGGAGGGAACCCCCCTCCATTTTCTGAAAATGTGGTCCATGTCGTTAACAGAAACAAAACAAAACAAAACAAAACAAAACAAACCTGTTGCCCTTGAGTTGAACCCGACTCATAGTGACCCTACAGGACAGAGTAGAACTGCCCTGTAAGGTTTCCAAGGAGCGGCTGGGGGATTTGAACTGCCTGACCTTTTAGTTAGCAGCCAAGCTCTTAACCACTGCCAACAGAAAGAAACGTGGATGTTATTTCCTCTTAATGAACCATGTTTTAATGATCTACCCTACCGTGGCTGTGTATGGGAATATTTATTTCCCCTTCCATTTATAGAACTTTTGGTCTTGACTTTTTTTTTCTTTTAATTACATTTTGTTACCGAGCCAATTCTTCTTCACAAATTACCAAAAAACTTTCTTAATGTTCTTTTTGTTTACATAATTAGTGATCCTGGTTCAGGGATTAGAACTGGATTGTGGTTTTGCATTTTCAGAAACATTCCAAACTCAAAATCGCATGTAGCACATTTTTCTTCCCGCTTAATGAAACTGGACAAATTAAGTACATTTTCTTCTTCTCCTTTTTCTCCTGCCAGGTTTTGATGGGATATTTCCCTTCTGCCAGATGCAATCTGCTTTTCTTTTTTGACTTTGTTCTGCAATTTTTGGTTTTATAAGTTGAAAAATATAACCTCCCACATCACACTGATCAGGTTTTGTGACTAAATGAGTTGTTCTCAGCATCTGAGCTTGATTCGGCTGCTGCTGTGTGAGATACAGGGTTGTGGTGGGTGCTCGGAGCTGAGCTGGTGTGGTTTTCACAAATCTTTTTTTCTCATCTAAGATTTGAAGTTGAAATATTTTACATTCTGGGCCAATTAATAAGTTTGTTGGCACTGAATACTTCGTACCATTTGCCCGGGTACCGCAAGCTGCTTGATTTTTATTATTAGAGTCTTTGAGAACACACAAATGTTTTAGGGAAACTTGGTGAGATTCTCCCTTGTCTAAAGGAGGAAACTGAGGCTCAAGGAGGTTATGTGTTGCTGGGGAGCACCTAGCAAATCCATGCCAAGAACTCACAACTACATATAATAATAATGATGATGATGATTATAATCATTGTTGTTATTACTTAAGGGTCAAGTAATAAATATAAACCAATTGTTAATACTTGTATTGTACTTCCCATTTCCAAAGTCTCAATGCTCATGGATGAAGATGCAGAAGAGAACTGGGGGCTGGACTCCAGCAGTCGCGCTGGCCCCGGACTCAGTGGCCCTCGTGGCTGCTGTGTCCAGCCTGCATCCGACACAGCCTTCACCCAGCTGTCTCGAGGCCTGCTTCCAGTGAGGCAGGGAAATCAATAAGTGTAATCACTTGCCCTCTTTGAGCTTCATTTTCCTCACCTGTAAACAGTGGTCCCTGCCCTGCAGACCTGGTGAGAATCGAAGGGTGGCATGTGGATGAACGTCACTGCCCAGCTAAGGGTGTTGCTGATCTTGTGACCATCACACAGTGTGGTTGGAGTGGAACCCAATGCAACAGTGCTGTCTTATGGTAAATAGCTGATACACCACGTCCTAGTGGCTGCGTGTGGCTGTCTGGAGGACTACCTTTAGGCGCGTTTGGAAACCATGTCCAGGCTCAGCCAGCTAGAGTGTGGTTAGGACTGGCGTTTTAAAATGACTTTATGGGCATGCTGCTGTTGCTAGCTGCCATCGAGTTGGCCCCCGACTCATGGCGACCCCATGTACAATGGGATCAGACCAGGGTTTTCACTGATTGATTTTCGGAAGTAGATCACCAGGCTTTTCTTCCCAGTCTGTTTTAGTTTGGAAATTTCACTGAAACCTTCATGTTTAGCATCATAGCAACACACAAGCCTCCACTGACAGACGAGGCTGGTCACTGCATATGGAGTGCATTGGCCTGCAAACGAACCTGGGTATCCTACATGGAAAGGAAGAATTCTACCAAGGAACCACCACTGCTCCCTGGAGTGTGGTTTGATTAGCTGTGCCTGCTGTGGGTGAAGCAGTGGGAAGCCTTAGTTTATGCCACGTATTTGCCATCCGTAGGCTATACAAATAGAGAGGATTTTTTTATTTTGGTGAAAATATACTCAACCAAATATATACCATTTCAACAATTTCTACATGTACAATTCAGTGACATTGATTACATTCTTCAAATTGTGCCACGATTCTTGCTATCCTTTTCCAAATTATTCTACTACCATTAACATAAACTCACTGCCCCCTAAGCTTCCCATCGAACCCTTTGAGTTGCTGTTGTCAGTTTGATCTCACACAGATATTTCTTTAAAAGAGCACAATGCTCAAAGCTGACATACTTTACTAATTAAGATAAACGATTTTTTTGCTTCAGTGAAAACTTCAGGGGATAGTTTTGGTTTAAGTTTAAAGATTATCTCAGGGCTAATTTTGGGGGTTCATCCAGCCTCAGTGGCTTCAGAACGTCTGGATTCCATTGTGAATTTGAAATTCTGTCCTACATTTGCCCCTCTTTTGATCAGGATTCTACTATAGAATCTTTGATCAAAATGTTCAGTAACGGTAGCCGGGCACCATCCAGTTCTGGTCTCACGGCAAAGGAGGCAGTTGTTCATGGAGGCAGCCAGACATGCAAATGCAGAGGATTGTAATAGTCAGGAGCATGAAGTCATTTTGCCTTGTTGAGGATATCTGCATTAAAGCTTCAGGGTCTGTGTGGATTTGACTCTGACCGCAATACAATCTGCTTACTTGTGATGGCTTTGGTATGGACAAGAGAGGGTTCCATTTTGCAGCCTTAGAATACAGTGGACTGTGAGTCCCAGGCATTCTCTGAGATTGGAACTCCAGTGTGTGCTCAAATCTGTCACAAGCCATTAAGATTAGTCACTTTGGTGTATCATTCGATCTCCCCATTTATTTACCCTCCAAGTGCCAGGACTTCACTGTCATTAAACACGTCCAGTGAATCTGCTGGAATGGTGTGCCCCGGTCCCCTTGGAGATGACTTCTTGCTTCATTAGCATGGCTTTTTTGGACTCTGCAGACTTCCATTCCACGGCTGTGGCCCTTGGGACCCAGGAGCCAGCTCTGGCACTGTCCCTTACTCCTGGAGGCCACATTGGTGTAAAGGTCAGTGGAATGAAAACCCCGTTAGAAACCATGATTCACATTTTGGCTCTTGAGCCCGAAAAGAATTATATGATGGTGGAGCACACACCTGGCCCTGATGGCCAATTCCAGACACAAAATTTATTGTGTCTGAGTTTCCTCTCTGGTCTGACTCAGTTGTTCTTTCTTTCTTCTTCAAAGGTTCAGTCATTTGGGGAAAGGATTGTACTTTTCATTCTTAATGTCGTTATTTTTGGAAGATTGGAGAGAAATCTGGATGCTGATGACATGTTTTTTTTACCTCACTCTGTGAAGGAGCAAGCTAAAATTTTGTGGAGAAATGGAGCGGCTGTTGGATTTTACACAACTAAAATGAAAGGTAACGGATGTGCTGTGGCTCAGGACTGCCACCATTGCAGGATCTGGGGGGCACGGGTTTGGGGGGAGCTTCTCTAGATGCCTGCCTGCCTAGAGGACTCTCTCAGCACAAGCGTTATTTGGAGAGAATCTTCTGGCACCATGAACTGCCGCTAATTAAGCCGTCATGTAAATAAACTCAAGCTATGGATTTCATTTCCACCACATTTCTCGTCTGACTGGCAAACAGGGTGAAAACCAGGCCTTTCTGATTCCCAGGCATTGCCATGTCCCCCTTACAATACTTGTTGCAGTTAATGGTGTAAAATGACTTTGTAAGCACAATGCGTTTCATTTCTTCTCTTTAATGTTACCAGTTAGCTGTCAGAAAAAATACCATTGCTAACAGTTGACATGTGGTGTGAAAGCACACAGATGCCAAAATTTATAGACATTACCTCAGAAGAGAGGGAGTTGGGCCACAATAACAAGGTTAGGTGAAAAGACTGTGACTTATTTTTATGGACTGTCATGAGCAGTCAGTGTGGGACTAGTACCATTTTGCCAAAGGGATTGGTCTCTTCTTTAAAGTTGCTTTCTTTAATCATCATCTCTGACCCAACTGATCCCAGCCTCATCATTTGGTTCTTATAAAGGTCTAAATTGAAGCAAAAATAAAAATTCCTGGTAAATCACCATGGATGTACTGTCTCCGGAGTTATGTGTTTTCTCGGGGGATAAAGAGGCTGATTTTGGTTTTGAACTCTGCTCACATTGTGTATATGTTCCACCTGTCCAGGATGGAATAACTCTGGATTTTTCACTTTTTCCCCTCACCAGTTTCCCATCCAGACAACTCCCTTAGTTAATTATTTGTTGAGTTCAGTCACAGAGGCTTAAGTGCCTGTGTCTCTTGGCAAGTTTTTGCTCCTTTTGTCATGAGAGCCATTTGTCCTTTGATTCTGATGTACCGTTTCACTTATTTGCACAGTCATGTTCTTTAATCATCATTTTTAAATAGGCCAAGGGACCTGGAGGATAATTACAATGGGAGGGAATCACTTTGCAGTTCCTCTTTCTTGGGAGACTCATTAGCTGTCATTTTCTATCAAAGGGCTGTAGCAAAATGATTTGTGCCACAGAGTTGATGTTAGTTGCCATCAAGTTGGCTCCAGCTCATGGTGACACCGTGTACGAGAATGGAATATTGCTTGGTCCTGCTCCATCTTTATGATTGTTGGAATGCTCAAGTCTACTGCTGTGGCCACTGTGTATTTTGAGTGTCTTCCAACCTAGGAGGATCATCTTCCAGCACTATGTCAGCCAATATTCTCTTGTGATCCATAGGGTTATTTTTTTTTTTTATCAGTTCAACTTTTTACAGGTATACAACTTACTGACAGCAATTATATTACTCAGCTGTGCAACCCTACCCTGAATCAATGTGATTTTTCCCGCACTAAATTTAAACTCAGTACTCCGCAAGCAGTAACCCCTCCTTTCCCACTCACTCTCGCCCCTGGTAACAACTAACAAACTTTGGTCTCCATGCATTCGCCTGTTCTTGTCTTTTATATAAGTGATGTCATACAATATTTGTCCTTTTGTGATTGACTTGTTTCACCCAACATAATGTCTTTAAGCTCCATCCACATTGTAGCATGTATCAAGACTTCATTTCTCTTACTGGCTGAATAGTATTCCATTGTATGTCTGTACCACATTTTGTTTATCCATTCATCCATTGATGGGCATTTAGGTTGTTTCCACCTTTCTGCTATTGTCAATAGTGCTGCAGTGAACACTGGTGTACAAGTCTGTGTTTGCATCTTTGCTTTCAAGTCTTTGGGTATATTCCTAGGAGGGGAATTGCTGGGTCATATGGTAGGTCATTTTTAGTTTTTTTTGAGGAATTGCCACACTGTTTTCCACGGTGTCTGTACCATTTTGCATTCCCACCAGCAATGGATAAGCGTTCCAGTTTCTCCACATCTTTGCCAAGATTTATTATTATTATTATTTTTTAATCTTAGCTATCCTAACGGAAGTGAAATGGTATGTCATTGTGGTTTTGATTTACAGCTGTCTGATGCTCTGGTGGCACAGTGGTTAAGAGCTTGGCTGCTAACTAAAAGGTCAGCAGTTCAACTCCACCAGCTGTTCCTTGGAAACCCTAGGGGGCAGTTCTACTCTGTCCTGTAGGGTTTCTGTGAGTCACTATGAGTGGGAATGAACTCACTGGCAACGGGTACCAATGACTAATGACGCTGAGCATCTTTTCGTGTGTTTGGTGGCCATTTTCATGTCTTCTTCAGTGAAATGTCTATTTAAGTCCTTTGCTCATTTTATAATTGGGTTATTTGTCATTTTGTTAAGTTGTCGAAGTTTTACATATATTTTGGTTATTAGAGTCTTATCAGATATATGGTTTCTAAAGATACTCTCCCAGTCAGTAGCTTGTCTTTTTACTTTTTTTGTAATGTCTTTTGGAGAACAAAAGTTTTAAATTTTTATAAAAAGTCTCATTTATTTTGTCTTTTGCTGTTTGTGCTTCTGTTATTATACTAGATAATCAAGTGTTAAAAGCTAGGCCTGATAGCATTGCCTCTGCATTTTCTTCTAAGAATTTTATAGTTTTAGTTTTCACATTTAGGTCCCTAATCCATTTTGAATTTTTTCTCGTGTATGATGCGAGGCATGAATGCTGTTTCATTTTTTTGCATATGTAAATCCAATTTTCCCAGCATCATTTATTGAAGAGACTCTTCTTTCCCCATCGAATGGACTTAGCATTCTTGTCAAAAATCAGTTGACCATAGATGTGTGAGTTTATTTATGGACTCTCGATTCTATTCTATTGTGTCTATGTGTCTATTGCTATACCAGTACCAGGCTGTTTTGATTACTGTAGCTGTATAATATGTTTTAAAATCAGGAAATAGGAGTCCTTCTACTTTGTTCTTCTCATTCAACATTGCTTAGCTATTCGGGGACTCTGGTCATTCCATATAAAGTTGAGGATTGGTTTTTCTGTTTCTTTAAAGAAGGGCTGTTGGAATTTTGATTGGGATTGCACTGAATCTATAGATTGCTTTGGGTAGTATTGACATCTTAATAATATTAAGTCTTCCAACCCATGAACATGGAACATTTTTCCATTTATTTAAGTCTTCTTTAATCTCTTTCAGCAGTGTTTTGTAATGTTCATCGTAGAAATCTTTCACATCCCTGGTTACATTTATTCCTCAGTATTTTATTCTCTTAGATGCTATTGTAAATGGAGTTGTTTCCCTAATTTCCCTTTCAGATTTCTCATTGCTGGTGTGTAGAAATCTAACTGATTTTTGTTTGTTGACTTTGTACTGTGCAGCTTTGCTAATTTCCTCTATTAGTTCTAGAAGTTTTCTTGCGGATTTTTTTGAATTTCCTATATATAGGATCAGGTCATCCATGAATAGAGATAATTTTACTTCTTTTCTAATCTGGATGCCTTCCCGCCCACTCCCATCTTAACTGCTCTGGCTAGGACTTCTAACACAGTATTGAATAGAAGTGATGAGAGGGTGGACATCCTTGACTTGTTCTCGATTTCAAGGGGAAAGCTCTCAGTCTTTCTCCATTAAGTATAATGTTAGCTGTTGGCTTTTGATCCATAGGTTTTCCACGGCTAATTTTTGGAAGCAGATTGCCAGGGCTTTCTTCTAGTCTGTCTTAGTCTGGAAGCTCTGCTGAGACCTGTTCACCATGGGTGACCCTGGTGATGATATAGCTTCCAGCATCACAGCAACACACAAGCCACCACAGTATGACAAAGTGATAGACGGGTGGTGGTTTGTTCCATAGACATCTTACCAATCGTAACAGAAACTATTAACAGATTTCAACCTGATGCAATCAGAGCCATGGGGCAGAAAGACGTTGGCCTTGGCTGGTGCTGCTGTTACTCCAGAGGCAGTGTTTCCAGTACCTTTGGAGATGAAACAGCCATTGTTTGTGGCTGCCTTGTTCTTCCCAGGGCAGGTCCAGAGCCTTGGAGTGGAAGGGGAGGGCCTTCTGGCATTAAGCTGCATCAGGTCAGACCAGGTGTTTGAATTTCTGCTCCTTCGTTTCTGACAAATTCCATGTATTTGGTAGAAAGTTCTCTGAAGCAGCTTACTTGGTCATGTCTTTTTCATCAATGAACTGATTTTTTAAGTGGCAATTCACTGTTGGATACTCAGCAATTCAGTTGGTTTAAAAAGTATCAAACCTGTAGAAAATTAAGAAGACAAATATTTTCTTCAGGTATACATTGCCAATTTTTAAATTTGCTTACTGCCTATTTCTGGATTAGCTTATTTTTAGGGAGACAAAATATTTCTATGGAGTCATATGTGTATGTTTGTTGGTTTTTCCATGTTTCTTCCTTTGTTGCTGGAATTATCTCAGAAGAATTTTTTTTAGACAATGTGTTGCTCTTTTTTAAAAAGCAGCTTTATTAGAGCTATGATTTGCATGGTCTAGTATTTACCCATTCTAAGTGTCTAGGGAAACCCTGGTGAAGTAGTGGTTAAGTGCTACAGCTGCTAACCAAAATGTCAGCAGTTCGAATCCCCCAGGTGCTCCTTGGAAACTCTATGGGGCAGTTCTACTCTGTCCTTTGGGTCGCTATGAGTCAGAATTAACTCGACAGCAACAGGTATATGGGTAAGTGTATAGTTCACTGATTTTAAGAAAATTTATAGAGTTATGCAGCCATCACCAAATCCAGTTTTAGGATACTTCCATTATCCCAGATTTCCTTGTGCCTGTCTGCAGTCGCTCCCTCTGCCCCATCCCGGCCCCAGGCAACAAATGATCTCCTTTCTGTCTCTGTAGACTTGCCTTTTCTGGACATTAAACAAAAATGGAGTCACACCGTGCGTGGTCTTTTGCGTCTGACTTTTTTCACTTAGTGCAATGTTTTTGTAGGTCACCCAAGTTTTGCATATATCAGTGGTTTATTTTTTATTGCTGAGTTCTATTCACTGTACCACAGTTTGTTTATCCCTTCACCTGTTGATAGACATTTGGGTTATTTCCAGATTTTGGTATTATGAATAAAGCTACAAGTTTTTCTGTAGACACTCGCTTCTATATATCTTGGGTAAATACGGTTAACACGCTTGGCTGCTAACCGAAAGGTTGGCAGTTTGAGTCAACCCAAAGGCGCCTAGAAGAAAGGCCTGTGCTGGGAGAGTGGTCTGCCTTTACGATTCCCATCCAGGCTGCCTAAACTGAGGTCTGGGGCTCAGAGTATTCTCTGATAGGAGGCTGGGAATTGGGTGTCTCTCTCTTCCCCAGTCCTTTCTTCTCATCAGGAAAAGTTTCCTCCCTGCTCTGAACTCATAGTAACTTTCTCTGTCCCTATGACTACCTGTGACTACTTATTTGTACTAAAGTAATTAATCTTGTAGCTAGTAAGGGAAGGACCGTTCTTTCTGGTCATGCACCCATGGTCGTAGGACTGCCATGCTGTTTGAAGTTGAACAAAGCTTGGCAATAGGATGGTCAGGCCAGGTGCAGCTGAACAAAGGCCCCTACTTCTTAACCCCTTTTCCCTGTTCCTATGCACTCTGAGGTATAAAACCCCTAGACCTCAGTGCCTGCTGGCCTTTTGCCTGCAATGTAAACTTGGAGACTTATGTGCGCAGAAGAGATTTCCCGTGTCAGCTCACCCGGGGATGGGGGCCGAGGGAAGTGACCCCATGATGAGCCTTACCCCATCCATTTGCATCCTAACCTCTATGTAAGTAAATAAAAGCTTTTGATCGCGCCACTGGGTAATGCCAATTAATTCCTGAAATCTCCCTCTATGAGCCCATTTTTCATTGTGGCTCATCACAGCCTGGCGATCTACTTCTGAAACATCAGCCATTGAAAACTCAATGGCTCTGACACACATGGGGTCTCCCTGGGCAGAATAAACCGATAGTGTTCCTGGATGATGCAAATGGTTAAGTGCACAGCTGCTAACCAAAAGGTTGGTGGTTTGAATTCACCCAGAGGTGCCTCGAAAGAAAGGCCTGGTGATCTACTTCCAAAAAATCAGCCATTAAAAACCCTATGGAGCACAGTTCTACTCTGACATACATGGGGTTGCCATGAGTTGGAATTGACTTGACAACAACTGGTTTGTTTTTGGTTCTTAAAAATATGTTAGAGTAGGATTACTGAGTCATATGGTAAGTGTAACTTTACAAAAAACTATTAAACAGTTTTTCAGATGGAGGTATCATTTTACAAAGATACCAGCAATGTATGAGAGTTCCATTTGCTCCACATCCTTGCCAATACTTGGTATTGTTAGTCTTTTTAATTTTTACCATCCTTCAATGTGAAGTGGTATCTCATTTTGATTCTAATTTTCATTTCCCTAATGACAAGTGATGTTGATTATCTTTTCAAATACTTATTTGATGGCCATATATTTTCTCTGGTGAAGTGTCTGTTCAGATCTTTTTGCCCATTTTTTATTGAGTTGTTAATTTTCTTATTATTGAGCTTAGAGAGTTATTTATATATTCTGGATATCAGTTCCTTATCAGATACATGTTTTAAAAATATTTTCATTTTGGTAACTGTTTTTCAAAGAGCGGAAGTTTAAAAATTTCTTTTCCTTTTTTTTTAAATTGTGCTTTAAGTGAAAGTTTACAATTCTAGTTAGTTTCTCATATAAAAATTTATACACACATTGTTACGTGACCCTTGTTGCTCTCCCTATACTCTGACAGCACACTCCTCCTTTCCACCCTGGATTTCCTGTGTCCCTTCAACCAGCTCCTGACCCTCTCTGCCTTCTCATCTCACCTCCGGACAGGAGCTGCCCGTTTAGTCTCATGTATCTACTTGAGCTAAGAAGCACACT